CATGTAAAAAGTTCAAATAGAACATAGTGGAAGAAACTGATGTGAATCTATGTATAACATTTCATTTTTTTGAATAATTAGAAAATAATATAGTGGTGAAGGAAAATCAGTAAAATCAAGAAGCTTCAATGGTATTTAATTTATTGTGTTTCCAGCATATTTTAAACATTCTGCTGGTTCTGGCTTGGCTTGTACAGTAGACAAGTAAATTGGCTTTTTTACTTCAGGGTTTGAGTTTACATCAACTACAGAGTGATGGAATACAATTATGTCTTGACCCTAATAGGTGACTGTCCTTATTTCACTACAATCAACACAAAGATGATGAAATTAACTTGCTCAAAAATTTGCTAAATTGCAAATACTGATTTTAATGGAGAGGGGTGAGTACTTTGCCGAGATGGAAGTGAAGTCAATATTAGGGACAGGAGCCACTTTATTCAGTGTCTAACCACGATGCCCTGGAACTCCAAAACTGGAAAGTATTCCAATCCACAACTGTTTTCTCTTACCCTAGTGACTGCAAAACCAAGTCTGCAGCAAGTGATGGTGAATTACAAAGCACTGTTGGCAAGGCCCCTAAGTGCCTACATGTGCAGCAGGACTTCACTCCTAACTGATTACTGATTAAGTGCTTAGAGGAAGTAACTGCTAACTTCTGTTTTCTCAAAGAAATTTAAAGAAGTCTGTGGAACATCCATAAATGATAAAGCATTCAAGAAATCCAACTGTAGAGTTTTAAAACTCATTTCATCCTACACCATACCACATTTATACTCATTCACTGCCACAGAATGGGATGATCTTCTCCTCCCAGCACTATACTTTGTACCCACCCCTGGCCTGGAGATATATTCTCTTCTTCCCTAAGAAATTATGCACCATTCTGAGATGAAGCAGCATGCCAAAGTGTATGGCAGCATATAGCCCTTGGGTTATATAATGTTATGGAGTTATACTCCTTGTTAAATCATTATGGTGTGAATTGATCTCCCGGAGAGTCCTGAGTTGCCAGCTTTCCTTGGATCAATTCCTGAAAGCTTCATCATATAACATCTTGCCTTTAGCCCCTGCATCCCCACTCTCTTCCTATTGGTTGCCCAGCAAATCTGTGCCTACAGTACACTACCACATACAGTATTTACAGATTGAGAGTCACTTTGTTATGAATCAGTTCACTTTTGGCTGTGGGGTCAAACACATGCCTTATCCCCATCTCCAATATGTTTCTAATGAATAACTGAAAGTATTCAACATAAATTAAGCTGTGCCCAGAAAGAAATCTAATGTTCCCGAAGAATGCAGGACAGAGCAAGGAAGGTTGGCAACTAAAGAAGCTGGCAGTGGGTGGGGGTCAAGGGGTGGAGTGGCAAAGGGAGGACACTTGTCACTGAATTTTGAGTCAGATTGGACTGTGATTTCCAGTCAGTCTGCCAGCTCCAATTGCAAAGATGTTTGCACAGCTCGAGAAGGAAGAATCCAAACCACAATCAGAAAGTAAAGCCATTGAATAAGATGGTGCAGAAATATGTACAGCTTGTTAAACATACAGCTTGTGTTTATAACAAGCTACAACATAAAGGCTTCTCCGGTAAACTGGGTGTTTCCTCGTTGCCAGTCACATTGCATTCAAGAACAGCCATAAATTAGGGAGCTGCTGCCTTTGATTTACCTACTTGGGGGTCCTCAAACAAAAAAAAACAAATTTACTTTGTTTAGAATTTAATTAAAGAAAATGTTGAATTAAAGAATAGTTAACACTCACCGCTCCTGTGAAAGGCATCAGATGTGGAAGGTTTCAGAGTACAATGGCACGTGCTACTCCTCACACAGAGGAGAGCAATCTCTGGGTCTCTAGCTTGTCAGGAACCCATCCCACAAACACACACACACACAGACACACACACACACGTAGGTTGGCAACAAACCATGAGTTTGACACTTCAGTCGAGCCAACACTTTCGATGCCATGCTTTTAAAAAATGAAACTTGTGGTACTGGGAGAAAGGAAAATGCCAGTGCCTCCGGAGGGCCAAAGTGAAAGGTAACCTGCTAACTCATTGAGGTGATAGATGTCCCAATGTAAAGCAGAGTTTCCTAGACTCTGGAGCCTTGGTACCCAAAGTATCCCGGACACATGTGGGAATAGAATGCACATTGGTAATGGGAGATGGTGAGCGTTGTCATCAATTGGTTTATGTTCTAAACTTACAGGCCTACCTTTTGATATACCTTGTCGGTACTTTCTTTGCTGAACAACTTTCAATTGATTTTTTTCTCAGAACCACTGGTAACAGCGACCTTCAATTAATCTGCTTCAAAAGAGACAAGAACTGGTTTTAGGCGTTGCAAGCTGTATTTTAGTCCTGTCTCAACAAGCCCAGTTTTCGATTTTTTTTATTATTCATTTACAGGATGAGGCCGTCGCTGGCTAGACCAGCATTTATTGTCCATCCCTAGTTGCTCAGAGGGCAGTAAAGAGTCAACTACATTGGCTGTGGGTGTGGAGTCAGTTGTAGGCCAGACCAGCTAAGGATGACAGTTTCCTTCCCTAAAGGGCATTGATTTACTTTGTTTAGAATTCAATTAAAGAAAACGTCGAAATTAAAGTATAGTTAATATTCAGAAGCCCATCAGACGTGGAAGGTCTCAGAACGGCATCGATTGGTAAGTTCGAAAAATGAAGGAACAGTGACATGCTTGAAAATGGACAAGGGAGAAACGACCCTTCGGGGTCCTATCAGGGGTGCAGTGTGGTGAAGAGCCCTACAGAAACTCTCCCCCGTTTCCAGGTTAGTCTCTGGTCTGAAGGGACATCGCGTAGACATTCGGCTGAGACGCATTACTTACAAAATCATTTGGAGGGGCTTTTGTGCACAATGGTAGTGTCCTTTCCTCTGGGCCAGCAGACCCGGGTTCAAGTCCCAATTGCTCAAGAGGTGTCTCTTAACATGCCTGAGCAGGGTGATTAGAAATTATCGAGAAGCTGTTCACACCGCCAGCAGGAGCAGGTTCCTCCAGGTCACATTCAGTTACGATTGTATTCCCTCTGTCGCACGATGAAGTTTGGCTGAGCGACAGAAAACTAATCCAACAAGCAAACAGCCCTCAAGGTATTTCGAAGTGGGCTGTGAGAAAGAGCCCACGGCATCGTTACGTATGATTTGTCTGTCACTACTTCCAATTGTCCAGCTTCCATTCGAACATTTAGCCCTGTTACTATGTTGTAAAGCACATTTACCAGGAGCAGGACCATTTGAACAATGCTCCCTGCAAGGGAACGCGCGTTTTACTGATCACCTTTTGAATGATGTAGTGTTCTGCACACAGAAGGCTGTAAAAAAAACTCTCTAGAAATAGTCTGAAGGAGACAACGTGGAGTCAGTTGTCTACAGGAAAATCAAACTGGACAAGCTTTGATTTTTTTTCTTACCATTTCAGATCCGATTCGGAGAGACGATATTATCCAGGATAATGGGTATTGTGGTACACGGTATTCCCAAATGTTACTGCTCTTGCATTCTACCGCTGTGACATAAAACAGTGGAATCCGCCGTTTGATCTCCTGCCTGACACCATGAGAATCAAATACTTACACGCGAGAAACTGTGAATTGTTCAAAACATGTACGTTAATAGGAGCAAGCAAGGAGTACCGCTGCTTCAGTTTCTGTTGTTAATTACTCTGTCCCGGCAAAACGACGCTGTGGTACCTTTTTTTAAGGGGCGTCTATTAGCGATATATTACAGTCCTCTCGGTGATATATTGTTGCAGAAAAGGCCATTCAAAAAACAATATTCGTTTCTACACATCATAGGGACTATTCAATCAGGAAATCTGAATTTTGGTTTTGTTTGCAAGACGCTGGCGATCCTATTGTTTAGCGCCAAAGGTTGCGATGTTCCTTTTCATTTAAAACACTTCCAGTTAAACCCTTTACTACATAATATTGGTCAATACAAATCCCATTAGCTCGGCTTAGTGTAAAGTGTGACAGTGAGTTTTATTTCCAATACAGGTTGACACTGAATCGTTCAACTGGGGACTGTGGCACATTGCCAATGTGAAGTGATGGAAATGGACTGGATTTTAAAATGTAGAATGCAGTGGAGAGTAAACCACAACAGAATGCTCCCAATCTCGTTCTGCCCGCAGAAAGTGAAGGGTGAAGCTGGAAGATTTGAACTGCGACTGTGTCCTCTCCCGGATAACTAATGATAACGAAATTCACTTGGGGTCATAATGTTTTATTTCCCTCGTGTATCATTTCGATTTGCAAAACAAAAGTTTCCATTTCTCGTCAGAATATGAATTCTCTAGCTCGCTTTTATGTTCGTTCCAAAACACAGGCAGTGGGGTGTCTTTGTGTAATGTTGGAGCGAAGTTTCTCTTGGGCCAAATGGATAGCGCCGCCCTCAACCTGACTGCCCCGCTGCGTGCAGAAGTAGTCATCTTTCTGGTGAAAGCAAAATAGCACAGCCCCTGAAGTTCCTGTAGCCTTTTTTTAAAAATATAATTTCCGGTTTGTTCCTCGTCTCTACTCAGAAAATTACAAATTGCTTATGTATATATTTTATGGCACCAGAGTAGTCAGCGACCACAAGGGATCAGCTGCTGGCCCGTCACAGTACAATCTGCAATAATGGAATGGTACACCTTCATGAGTTTTGGTGTTGTAGTGTTTGTTTCAATGTTTGCAGGACTGATCTCAGTATTTGAGCGAGAGGGAAAAGGATGGTGTAGGTAGTGATTCCAATAAATTAATCGATCGTTTGTATAGGAAGATAGCAATTTATTCAAAACAAATGCTAATTCAGTCCGTGTGCTTTCTTGTATATAGTTTATATATATAAAATCTTACTTCGAGAGAAAAAAAACATTTGTTGCATTAAGCAAGAGAACTCGTTCAATACTGAAAGCTGTTTATTACAATTAACATCAATCAATCAAAATGTATACATCACCCAAAAAACAGTACTGACAATATTACATCCGACCCTTTGATATTGAAAAGAATTTAGAGGAAGTATTATAATAGCATGCACAATGTTTCTCAATTTTGCTTTACAACCAGAAACACCAAAATGTCGCCTGTGGGCTTGAAGGACTTGCGAATTTCGTCTCCAAATACCATACATCGATTATCCCTATTGAAGGAATGTGGCTTAAATCATCATAACCAAGTCTCCACATTACAAATGGATATCAAATTAATTATACACTTAGAATTGTTGAGTACAGACAAAGCTTTACGTTTGATGTCCGAAAATCTGTTAATTTAGTTGGTCAACTTGGCAGTGCGATGGAAATCAGACTGGCCTGTCCTAACCACATCCTAATTCTTTCAAATTCAGTCCAGCGCAGACTTTATGTTTTCTCTACATGTATGTCCACTGACAGCTTAAACGTAAAAGAAATACAACACGTTGCGTCCTACATTAGCTTAAACATTCAAGCAAATTACATTTTGGAGGCTTATTGTAATTATGTATCTGAGTAAAGTTTTAGGATATTTAATTGTGTGTTAATATAGTCTTTGTCTTCACTGCTGTTGAATTCCGATCAACCTTTCCCCTTCTTAAAATACCTAGGGAATTTTCAAACGTCGGGAAGTGTGGCTGTAATGCCCCAAGATTTGTTCTCCCTGAAAGAAATCATAGTAACAGTTCATTAAACTACAGAGCAATCTGGCCTTCCGGGGTCTTTTTGTTATTTTTTTTAACAAGGAAAATATTTCTAACGTTTCGTGAAAAACTATTTTGAAAGGTAAATTTACATTGTTTGGATGTCGACTGTTTGGCTTTAGTCTTCCCTGAATTTATAGAGTTTCTGGCGGTTTAAATTCCCCCTTTTTTATTATTAAATATAAAAACTTGTGGCGTCCCTATCCTACTGGAGCGAGTATTTAAACTCTAAGCCTTTTAGGTACTTCTTGTGCTCAGCCTGACCCTAGTGGAACATGTTCTTCCTGATTATATACACTCGTATTTCGTATGCCATTTTTAAAACACAATTGTTTTCCTGTGTTTGTTGTCCCTGAAATAGCTTTCATTTATTTTAAGTGGGCATTCGAGACTTGCAAACAGACAATTGAAAAAATAGAGGTCGTTGAAAAGCAATGCTGGTATAAACATACAATCTATAACTCCTGAAGTCCCCTGTTCTCGCTTTTATGTGTTGTGTTTTTTTTAGTATCAGGCACTTTTCATAACATTAGTGCTTTTTGCTTGAACTGACAAAATGTTTAGATACTGATTTATTCAGTTTATTCTAAAAAAAAGTGTTATGTCGCTACGTCTACCTATTTGTTTGTATTATTACCGCATTTTTCTGGTTTCAAACGAGTTTTATACCCATTGGTCTTTCGTCAACTGATAATGCACATAGACACACCACCAGGAGCTTATTTGATATCGCAATATAAGCGCCGAATGAAAGAAGGCTAAACTGAAAACGATCAAACAAACTGCTTTAATCACACAATTTTAATAAGATATCACAAAACGTTTGGTCCATAAATATTAAAAGGGGAGAACGCGCCTGTACAATGGTTTCATTTTTTTAAAAACAAAGTAACATCAACAATCTCATCAAACCACTTACTGTACTATCATAAACACAAAGATCAAACAGAAGGACCTCGTAACATCGGGAATACCAACTACTCTAGTGAGAGAACGTGTTCATGGTTGCTTTCGAGGACAAGTCCAAACGTCGTTTTGTGTTTTTTTTAAGAAAAAAAACAGCTTTCCCATTAAAAAGTTATCAGAAAAGGAGGTAACAATACAAAACTTGTGAGGTGTCAGAAGGGCATCTGTTTTTTTTTCTAAACAAGGGAACACGAATCTACACCACGTCACAGACTTTCTTCAGAAATATCATAAGGCACATGATAAAAGCTGTGATAGATCTCATTGGAGAAAAGTAGTTCCAGTACACCATGGTTCGTACTGCCAAAGAACGGTAGTGTAAAAGTATTGGCGAGTTTTATTTAGTATTGTTGGTACCAGTACATATGACAATAGCGAGGAGCCTGAAGAGATGTTCACTGGTGAGTGCGCATGGAATGAGCTCACTGGCGAAACTTAATTTGTTTTTTTTTGAGTCTCTCACTCTCCCTAAGACAACCCTGCAGTTGTAGACAGTGAAGGACTGCAGATGCTGGAAGCTAGAGTCAATAAATGTGGAGCTGGAAAAGCACAGCCGGTCAGACAGCATCCGAGGAGCAGGGAAGTCAAAGTGTCGGGCTGAAACCCTTCGACAGGACCCTGAACGGCCCGAAACGTTGACTTTCCTGTCCCTGCAGTTGTAGAGACAGTCAGAATATGGTGGGCACGTTTAGCAGAAGTGAAAAAAAATGTTTACATGACCAGTGTCGAGGAGAAGCGAAGTAGTGTAAGATTAAACTGAGCTTTAAACTTTTAATCTGGAAGCTTTTAAGGAAAATATCATTGGAAATTGGAATTATATTCGAGCATGCGCAGTCACCACTGCACAGTCCATTGACATTTATTTTGTAAACTGCTCTTTTTTTTCTACTGCTGTAAACTAGAATTCGTCAATAAACAAAAAATATATATTCATATCAGTTATTTAACAAAATCATCCTACACACAACAGGATCTGTTTTATTTTTGTCTTTTTTTTAATACTTTCCAGGGATTTTTTTTTTGTTTTGTTTTGAAGGAAATCTGCTAAAAAATGTTAGAAAAGGTTCGTTAAGGTAGTTTGTGACGGACTCCCGGATTCGTGCACGTCCAGGTTAGAGGTCACAGGCGTCACTACTGACAGAGTGGGATTGGTCAAGTCTGTTAAAGTGGTCGAAGTGCTGCTTGGACTTAGAGCGGCGCCGGACCTGTCGGCTGGGGGCGGGACGGGAAGTGCTGTGCCATCAGGTTTATCAACACCCCCATTCTCCTGTCGCAAAAGGTTCCTTCTGAATTTGGCTCTTGCGTTTTGAAACCAAACCTGCAAACCAATCCCATGTAATCTTTTTACCGATTATTTGATCCTTTTTTTTCTTTATCTAATCACAAACCACAACTTATCGCTATAGATATATAGATATAGATAAATAAGATATATAAAGATCAATTATTTAAACAGCTACTACTATGCAGAATTAAATAGACTAGCATTAAATGGACTGGGGAATGCTGAGATTGTGACAATGCAAGCAGAAATTGGCTACATTTAATACCATTGACTTCCCTGCACAGTACGAGGAACAAGCTCGTTACACCGCACACAACTTAAACGGCTCGTTTAACAACTTATCAACGAAAACTACTGAAAGCTTAAGATGAGATTATGTCCTATGTTGCATCCACTAACCAACAAAAAGAGATCCTGGTAATTATGGCAAGCGCCAGGATGGTCAAAGTTTTGGAGATCTATTCACTCTTGCTTCCCTCAGCTGTTCGCCCCTTGCGGGATGGAACAGCGCGATTTGAAATGAAACCAGTGAGCCAGTCAGTTTGGACAGGGCAGTCGATAGCATCCTGTGCTCAGCTGGTGCAACTCGACAGGGTTTTCCGATAATGGTGAAAATAATTTTAGCGCCTCTTCCCCAGCGAGGCCATTTTAGAATGCACTGGATGTAGTGTTGGACACCAGCACTCAATATTGAGATGATATTTGGGGAATGAGCTGATTAACATTGGCATCAATGTGAACAGATCTTTTTTTTTAAAAAAAAGTCATTTTAGAACAACGCCGTGGTTCCTGTGATTAATTGCTTTGCATTTAATGGCGAAATTTTGAAGTGCTATATCTTGATATTTAGTTGTCAGTCGTTATGTATAAAATATGTCCAATTGCGAAATAATCAATTACTGTGCAAGTTATCAAACTGCCACGTAAATAGTAATGTCACTAACCAGCCATCTATGGAGTGGATGAAACATAGACAGGGATTCTCCACTGTAACCCCTCATAGCATACCACCCCTTAATTATTTCAGCTCTTGTTTTTTTTAATACTTTGGATGATTAGTATAATAAACTATTATTGTACTACGAGATCTACCTGGTAGTATATCTACCAGTCCCAGTCTGAGTATTTTGAAATGAGTTTTCCGATTAATAAATGCAGAGCATGAAAGGGTGATCAGAGGTTTACAGTACACAGCACATTTCGTTAGATCGATATGAATGCCTCTTACCTGCAAAACTCTTTTGGTGAGCCCAGTTTTCTGGGCAAGCTGTTTTAAATCTTTCGCATCTGGGTTATGGTTTATGGCGAAGTAGGACTTCATGGTGCGAAGCTGGTGGTGTTTGAAGGATGTGCGCATACGCTTGGTTTTCTGGGTTGGAGGGTAGGGCTGTTGTTCCCTGTCCAAGTGGTCCGCGTCGTTTTCATTGCAGCCTGGCGTTCACAAACACAACCGTGCTGTTTATTAATGATCTCTCACATCAGGCAACAGGATTAACCTCACTGCCTCATCCCCACCCTCTACCACTTACTCCTCTTCACTAGAGGGCGCTCAACTCTAAGCCCGAGAATTTGTGTGTCAACATTTCCACCCCCCCTCCCCCCACCCCCGGTATGAGTACTACACAATATTTGACATTCCTTACTCAAGTCGCCTCCAACTATTCCCTTAGAAATGATTACCAGCTCCCAGGAATTTCCACTCAAACGTTTTGAAAGCCCTCCTCAAATATTACGTTACAAAATAGTTTGAAAACTAAAAGCACTGCCCTTGTGCTTTGAGTTCAGTGATATATTTGATGCTAAACCCATGGGACGAATCGATTTCGGTGAGTACTTTTTTGTTCTTGTGCAGCTTTTAATTTTAACTTAAAGCGGCACATTTTTGCAAACGCCATCCGGAATTATTATGATAAACGAATCCTCATAAGGAATATCTTGTCAATGATTATTATCGCGTACGGACACATTTTTCAATGGAGACAAGCGCTCAGAAATCTTAATAATAAATGCAGGCAGATTCCTGTTTTAGAAAGGTTAACGTTTTGCCCATTATGCTCGAAAGGAAAATAAAATAAAACGTTTTTTTAAAATGGACACCACTCGTAATTGAACGTAAACATGACCACATCCGACTTTGTAACATTTTAGAATTATTTTGCAAAGTTATTGAACGTCTCGTGACTTTTTGTATACAGAAAAATTGTAGCAGGGACTGTTTATGTAATTTTACAGTGAAATTAACACATTCCACACAGCTATCCATCCATTCATATTAACTGAAGAGTAATCTGCAGTCTTCAGTTTGCACTTTCTGAAATATGATCTTTACTAGATGAACTTCCTGCCTCGAGAAATATTAAGTCCAGTGTTCGTTTATTTTTTTTTTCCTTTTCACTAGAACCACTCGGTATCCAAACTTACTTATTATTTGGTAGGCTGGAAGGTGGTCTACGTACACCACTGTATTTTAAACACCCTCAAAAACTGCAAGTAGAATGACTAGGATTATTTTACAAGTTATTCAGGGCTATTGAATATCTTAAATGGATCGCATTAAATGTTATGAGTCCAGGCTCGTCCTCTGTTCCAGCCACTGTATAGACACTGTAGGTCAATTTAAACACAATCCAGTTCCCGCCACATGATTTAACATGGATTACTTTATAACATATGATTGCATTAATACATTGGATTTTATCTTTAACATCAACCATCGCATGAACAATGGACTCCAACAAAGCGGTTATATGTTAATATTGTGATTCTCCCCCAGAGTGAAAACGATATTTTGTCCTTATTTTCAAATGTAAATGATTTGCTTTTAGCAGTGAATGTAGGAACATATTTAAAGTTTGGTGTATTAATTCTCGTTGGTACTCTAGTGAATGCACCAATGAGTTTATACAGTATGTTAGTTCAAGATAGATTTACGGCGGGTGGGGGTGATTTATGTGGGAGTGGAAACCAGGGATTCCTGTGTCACGTCTAATTAACAGAAAACAATTAACCTCCAGATTACGTGATTCTTCTTTCATTCAATTGAACATCAGAATCTCGAGTGCGCGCCAATTTGCTTTAAGAAAACCCCACAATTAAGAAACAGCTAGAAAGGGCACAATGAACCAGTATGCAGTTGGGTCCCAGTTTGTGGAAAGTCCACAATGCATTTATTCTTTTATTTATGAAAAAGAAAAGGATGAAATCATGTTTGGTTATCTTTTTTTAAAAAAAGAGTGAAGACCCATAGAACGCTTTTGCAGCCATCAAACTGACCAAAGTGCCTCTGACAGCACGCTTAGTCCAATTATAAAGCTGAAGAACTCTGCCGAGCAGAAACTGTTATGGATAACAAGGACTCAACGTGGAAGGGCTGTTCGGTAGGGCCGTGCTAAGAGCCCATACACATAAAACAACACAAAACAAATTTAAATCAAAGCTTCAATATTTTTGTTCCGTTCTGGTACAATGTTAGTGGGCCTTTGAACCATCAGTTGATTTGCAAAATCATCCGGAACATGATTGATATCCGAATTTTAGAAGCTCCTTCTTTTGCTTTAAAAAAAACTTTCCATTCGTTGGTGCATTATGGCCAAAACAAAACAGTTGAAGTTTGACTTATGTTTCGATTTGTAGCGCTGAAGTTTTGGTCACATCGACAATTTATATACATATATATATAAACATATCCGTCGTTTGCCTGACAAATATTATTTTCCCCACCTGGGTTGTAAGTTGAGATATCGACTCCGAGGGCAGGGCTTTTTCTCTTCCTGGGGCGTCCCTTCTGAACAGTGCCTGTCCCATTGAAGTAGGGCAAGCCGAGACCCCCGCTCTTTGAAGCCAGCTCGGTGTAGTTCAGTTGCGTGTGATAGTCTACCTGCATCAGGGACTCGAAATGAACTCTGCAGTAAACCAAATTATCTTTCATGCCGAAGTGGTCGCCTGTGGTTAATGTTTTGTTGCAAGTCGTACACGTGAAACAGCTCAAGTGATAAACTGAGTCCCTGGCTCGCATGACCATTTCAGAGGCGGATATTCCGAGGTGGCAACGAGAACAGCGTTGGACAGAAAACCTCCTTCCCAAAATATAAAACAAAAGAGAGCAAAGAACACCACGCTTAGAAATAGGAGAACATGTACATTATATTGCACGACGAACAACATCATTGTCAGCCAAAGAATCGTATCAATAACGTCGGTCTATTAATATTTAATCACGGGTTACAACATTTTTCCTCGCATTTGAACGTTTATTTAACAGCGCCCGATTTTCCTGAACGGCGGTAAATTCTATTGGTGTGTGGGCAAAATGAATATAATTTGGAGGGATAGGGAAAAAGTCAATAATAAATTGCCCATTGTGAACTCAAACAGTGGCATTTTTTTACAACTTGCAGTTTTCGTCCCGGTCATTGTACGGCCCACATTTATTCATCGTCCGAAAACTCGCAGCCCACCATCCCCGATCTGATTCCGGTATCCTGTCGGGCACAGATCCGTCAGCTGTGAGACCAATATTGGCTGATCTCATAAGCTTACAAATAATTCCTGATCACATTGAATGAACCAATGCTTCGGCCAAAACATAAAATAAAATGGCCTCAGTACTTTCCAAAAGCTTCCTCGTCGCAAAATGAAACATTTCCAATGTTGCTATATCTTTTGTTGAGTTTGAGGCCTAAGTTCTGGCTTGTCAAACGCTCACCCTTAAACATAAGGGGGAACGCTGTCCTTACATGACGGAAAGAAAGACTAGAGTTACCGTTCAAATTGCTGCATCCCTCCCCCTGGGCTCTGAGAGCGAGATGTGCAACAGAAAAGTAAGAGGGAAAGCTCAGCTTCCATTCCCCCTCCAGGCCCACAGTCCGTGGTTGACGATGGTTGTGCCGGCCTAACTGCTTGTGACTGTCCGTGTGTAAAACGGAAACGCGCGTTAGAAAAGGAACACGGCCTGGAATGCCAGGCTACAGCCAAAAACCAAATAAAAAACCGGCACGGAGGTGAGTCCTACTTTTCCTCATTTTTACGTGCTCCCACGTTCCCTGGACAAGTTGCACCTCCTATTTGGAGACCCTGAAGCAAGCGTGCGCTGGATGATTACCTGTAGTAGTCCTCTTTACAGTAAATGCTGCCATCCTTGGCGAAACAAGTTAATTCGGACTCCAGGGCGAGTTTACATTCACAACACTTGAGGCACCTGAGGTGCCACTGTTTGTCGACAGCAAGCAGGTAGTATCTATCTGCAATTTTACCGCCGCAGCCTGCACACAAGGCGGGTTTCTCCGAGTTAATAGAAGGCATGTTCTGCAAACAAGAAATCTTTTTTAAATGTCAAGCTAAAACGTCATCATGGTCAAATGCATACACACAGGTTGCACAAGAGCGAATACGTAAACGAAAGCAAGCAACATTTGATTTGCACAAAAATACTTTCAAACATTTTGCAGGTAAATGTTTTCTATGTATTATTTGCTGCAGCTGATGAACAGTTCCCCACCACCATCCCCCGCCCCCCACCCCTCTCCCGTGACAGTTCAATCTCCCATGGTAGTAAATTGAGTTAAAGAGAGAGTCAAAGTTGGGCAATTATTAAAACAAATCTTAACGCGCGGGTCTTTGCTTCAAGCGAGAGTTCCTTCTGCTCAAAGTTCACAAATAATCGCATTGCAGTCTCCTCCACAGTGTAGCCGTGGATATTTCCCAGTCTTTGTTGGCAGAGAAGCACAGCAGAAAGACCGGAGCTGCACACACTCAAAAGGCATTTTTAAAATGGGTTTTATGTCACATTTTAATTTTGTCTGTGTCAATAAATACACCGAAGCGTATTGCGAGCAAAACAAACCCAAATCTCTTTTAGTCAGTGCGATGGATTTTTTGTTTTAAAAAGCTGTCGAGAATTCAATATAACGGAGAATTTTTTTTAAAAAGGAGAAGCTGAACTCAATCCCTTAACTGCTACGCAAGGACTGTTCAGGGTGAAGGAAGGAAGTTAAATTGTGTGTCTCAAAAGTCCTCCTTTCTCATGTTGTTGTTTTCCCTCTTACCGTTTCCCTTCCGTTCATCTGCACTCCTTTGGCGAGCCGGGAATCCGTCTTGGATCTCCTTTCCATTTCCTCCATGATTCCCTGGATCTCGCCCCCAGAGATTCCGTGGAAAAGCATCGCTGATTGACGGAAAGTACACGTGTCTTCCTCGGCCCTGGCTCTTAGTACTTCCATACAGACCCCAGCTTAAACCATGGAAGAAACTGCTACAAGACAATTAGAGAAAGAAAGAGAAAGAGAGAGAGAGAAATAAACTGCTAATCTCTGATGGGGTGGCGGGGGGGCGGGAGGTAGTACAACACGTCAAATTCTCCGGCGCCCGGGGAGATGATAGTTACTGGCTGCTGCTGGGGACCAGACAGTGATAGAAGGAATCCCTGCAGACTGGTTAGGAATAACGGGCAAACAATGATGTTAGGGCGATTTTAACCGCATTCCCCTGACTCCTTAGCTCCTTGCTGATCGGATTGTAGCTTGCTGGCTGGGAGCACACCGTTTCGCCTATTTGTTGCAGCCTCTCGCCAGGGCACAGTTGGATAATTTGGTAGGAGGAGTTCGATAGACTGCCACCTAATCCTTTTCATTACAAAGGCCTGTCATACGCTTTTCATTGGCTATTGACGGACAATCAATGACAGCTCCAGGCGGGTTTGATTTCCCAGTGTGGCGAGTTCATGCGACTTTCCGATTGGGCAGAGCGGGAACTGTGAGGTTTTCTTTATCTCTCTGCAAAGCAACAGGTATTCTCCGTGAGGGCAGACAATGTTCAATTAAGGGGAGAGAATTAATTGTGCTTTGTGCAAAGCCTAAAAGTAAAACCAACCAGCACAGGCAAACAACACTGAAAATTAAGACAGTTGATTAGTAAAACCAGTGTATACCAACGATCATCCACTCCTCCCGCTAAATAGACGCTACTACTTTATAAAACAGCGTAAACAGGTCTTGTTAAATTCTCAGTTAAGTTCCTAAAAGCATATTTTACGAAGAGTTTAGTAATGTGGTATTTTGAATAGATTTATAGCAGTTTAGAGAGCTGAGGGGAATGGTGCTTGATTGATTAAGCAGAATCCTTCTCTCTGTTCACACCTCCCACCTCCCCACCCCTGAGTCTCCCCCAATCTCAGGAAACCAACCACGATTTGAAAGGTCACTCGGGTCCAGGCAGGAAATCAGCAGAGGGACGCATTTTTTCAGGTCAGCATTGTCGCGAAGTTCAAAGCAGTACATTGTCTGTGCTCACGCACAGAGGGGCAGCTTCACACACAAAAAAAACAGCCACTGCTTCCAGCAATGGGGTGGAGAGAGAGAAAAAAACATAAACGTTCAAAATGCTCACGACCCTGCGTCATCACATGGTCGCAACAGCAGCCTTAGTTCTGAAAGTGAGAACTCAACTGGACTGTAATAGTCTCATAGCCATCCAGAGTGAGAGATTTTACTGTGTGGCCTTCTGTGGCTGTTGAGATTTGAGGCTACATGCTCACATTTCTAGGCATCTTTGGGATCATTGTATTGCATGATAGGAACTCTCCATTTGTTTAGCTCAAAAAAGCATTTTTTTCCTCTGGCGGCAATGAATCGAATGCCCAGAATTCTGAAAATGAACAGAACTATTCTCAACAGCCATGTTCCCATTGCAATGGGCAGCTTTGAAGTGAAACCGTGCAGAAAAAGGCTCTTCAAGGCATTGGCTCCAAAATGCTGGTTGCGAACACTGCATTCGGATTTTACGTGGGGTTCACTTCATTCGGCTCTTCCCCCTTCCCCACTCCCCCGCCCCCCCAAACCGCACGCCCCCAGGTTCAGAGCGTGCTCGCTTGCAGAACGCAGTGTGCGTCCTAAAATGTCAACTTTTTTTTCATATTTCGGAAGGTGACATGCCACGATTGACTCCAGCAGCAGCATCCACGCCAGCATTGGGTGGCCCACACAAAAAAAGATTCGCTCGAGCTGTTATCCATGCACCTTGGCTGTGAGGAGATGCTGGAAACCTGGCGCCAGTCTATAACATCTTCACCGTGCCTGAAGCCCGGAGCTGTGGCGCCTACAGAGCAGGGCGTGACCACAAAGCTGGCTCGAAAATGACCAACCGCAAGCCTCTGAGGACCCCTACCCCAACACCCATGCATGCACACGTCTAGATTTGATCGTTACTATTCCGCATTTAACCTGGTATCTCTGACCGATTTTTTGATGAGGGCGGGGTTAGGGGGCATCTCCAACCTATTTCAGCGTCCACACAGCTTCCGATTCACAGAGAATACCTGTTCGCATCCCACGTGGAGAACAGGTATAGGCTCCCAACCTGGCAGTGAATCTGGGCGACAGATGGATTTCAAGACTCTCCAGTATCAGATTCCAATGTAGAAATGCACCAATGACGCGAGAGCGCACGGATAACTGATTTGAATCTACCTCCTTTTTCTTGTTGACTGTATCTGCTTACAGTTGTAATGACACCAGGGCAGCTGCTCTCTCTATCCTTGGGAGTTTAAAGCGATCTCGCGGAAGTGTGCTGTACACAGCAATGGTCTTATACCTGTACTGTTTCTCATCATTTTTGGTGCTGTCTGCTGGATAGATTCCAAAATTGATCATTTCTCTAACATTTGTTTTATACACGAATAGTGGGCGTTGTTCCGCGCTTTCAAACAATTTTAAACGTTTGGTGAACTGCCTGGGTGAAATAATCTTAAATGTATCAATTCCATTCCAGAATTCGATCGAATGGGTATCTAGTTCTGTTTCCCGTATCTAAAGCACTTTTTTTTTGAATGCCCACTAAATCACATTTTTAAAAAAAGCTTCAGAGGTTTGAGAGCTTTATGGTGCAAATGACAGAGGAGTACACACTCCTGTGTTATACAAGGGGATAGGCTGACTTCTGGTGATATACAGGCTGTTTCTGTTCGTTGATAAGACCTAATCGAGCTCTGAGGAATTGCTAACAGTATTTCAAAATGACTCAGTATATAACTAAACACACACTGTATGCCCATTCGCAAATGTTTACTGGTTGTAAAAAACCACTTCTTATTTATCGTTAATGCGAACGATTCAATTTGGCCTTTTACCGCCTTTGTCAAGTCTGTCTCTTGCGGCTTTCTGCCTGTATTTCTTTGTCTCTTTTGCTATCTTTGCCTCTCTCTGCCTCTCCCTCACACCCCATATGCTTGTCCTGATATACAGTTTAAACTAATTGGTTTAGAACAAATCCTCTGACTTGCTGTTTTAGCCCCAGTCTTGGCGGTACCAGCTGCCGCGTATTTGATCACACCTATAGCCCGGGCAAGATGGGGGTTCCTGTCTGTGGAGTTTCTCTTCTCAAGTCCCTTGGGGATCTCACATACAACGGTTAGATCGCGTGCAAACCATAGAGATTACATTTCCCAGCAAGATGCAAGCTCATAGTCAGCATCGTACCTGCAAATTAACTGAAGCTTCCCCTTTGTCTCATCGTTACAGCTGTAAGATGAACATTTACTACACGGGAGAAGCTTTTATTTTTAAACAGATTCAATTAGCAGTGTCTGCTGCTTAGCGGGTATGTGCACTAGCCAGATTGCCAGAGTTTAGCTCATAAGGCACAATTTCATGTGAAAATGAAGTCAATCAAGTGAAATAAGCAGTGATTTGTTTGTTGCTGGCACGCTATCGTATGTACAGCAGGGCTGTTATTTGCTGTAAGTAATGTAATTAGTCGTTTTGTACAGAAATCAATGGCTTATAAATAGAGCAGTGATAGCTATGCATGTGCGCAGAAATACTCGAAAGGAAATCCCCACTACTACTGCGGATGTTTTTTCTGCCTGCTGTCACATGCTAACAGTTCTCCACAATGATTTTCATTACGATAATTTGTGGAAAATGCAATTGTAGAGCAAGAGTCTGTCTTTGCTACCGGATCATCGTTTACACGGAAGCCAGAGCGCAAGGAATTAAAAACATACCTTGTTGCTATTATTATCCACGCGACCCGTTTAAGTGAGATTATTCACGCAAAGCAGAAAGGAAAATCGTGTCTTCAGCTATAGTTGTAGTTTGCTGATAAAATTAACGTATCTGTAAATCTGCTAATGGTCACTACAAATTGTCTAGCGCGTTCTGACTACATAACACGTTCTCGCCCCCAGCATATTGTTATGCGATCCAATAGCATATAATGTTATCCAATTGTATCACACCTAATATATTGCGGATGAGCACTACCCCAGAATTAAGCTGTAGTATGAGGTTACAACCGAATGAGAGCCCGTACTCCCTCTCAAGTTCAGAGCCCTTTGATGCACAACACAGCTGGAACTGCTGAGGAGCAAGTCAATGTGACCAAAGTATTTTGCTTTCTGAGCTACGGCGTAGTTTATTATTCATCAAATCTCAACGGTTCGTGCACAACTTTAGCACAAATGTCTATTTAATGAGGCAAATTCTAATTTATTTCGGTTCCATTCCCTTTACATGTATGAACGGAGCAAAGTGCACCTATGCAAATATTATTCTAAGGTAATAAACCCAACCAATAGGAGTCCGGTAAATTCGACTAATGAATGCGTGTTTAACTCTAATTAACGACTATCTAATGAGGACCTTATGTAAATTCAAATAAACATGAAATATCAGGATCTTCTAGGTGTCTGAAGACGAGTTATCTTTTACGTTCAGGCAGCTTTCGTGGTGTCAAATTGGCTTAACAGGGTGTCAGTCTTATATTCCGGAGTCGCTATGTTTTGTTTTCAGGTTCCTGGCCGTAGCTATAAGTTGTCCTGCAACACAGCTGTAAACGCTTTCTGAACGCAGTGCCACAGCATAATGAATTGATGCCGAAGTCTTCTCTCTGTGCATCCCGACCTGGCAGATAAAAGCTCAAACATAACCCAAGCTTGATTGAATGTATTCAATTAACATGCTCTGAAGTTGGAGGACTTTCTTTCCATTTGTTCGATAATGCACTTTCCTGGTTCTATGCAAACCTGCAGGTGCATTAGAGCTGAGGAGCTATTTTTTCCATTTGAGGGGGGAAAACGGTGTTAAATTTACATATCTATCTCTGCTCAATGGCACTATTACCAGTAATTGGCCGGCTACAATAACATAACTCAAAAGTGGCTAAACCCCTACATCTGTATTCATTTAATTAATTATGTTAGCTCTTGGTTCGCTCCATCAGGCGCTGTAAGGTGCACGGGGTGATGAGCTGTTGACAAGGAGAGCAGTTTTTTTTGTAATCCTGATATCAAGCAATACTAAAATTATAACTTTTTAAAATGCGATTCATCGCGACTCCATTTATTGATACCGTCCATTTAATTTACAGTTTACCCCTTTACGTTCTTATTGTACAACACAGTTACACAAATTAAGTTCACTGGCGTAAATGGCAGCACGTTGTTACAACACGTGGGCTGGATAATATTTGGTGCTCGAATTCTTAATCAACAGCTTTCGGGCATTGTTTTATATCACAACGAAGGCGGAAAGCAGCCAGCTACATTACAGAAGAACCCACTCAGTTATGAGATACTGTTTTTAAGGGCGTGAATAATACCATTACCT